AAAAAAAAAAAAAAAAAAAAAAAAAAAAAAAAAAAAGCCAGAAGAACTATTATTAAAATTAAGGGAAAAAAATTTCTGCTGTTCTTTTGTTTAGTTGTATAAAAAATGAAATAAAAAAAGCTGTTTTTCAGTCGATCATTGTTATTGAGATGATCAAAGAACACTCCAAACACATGACCAATTCAAAACATTTATGCGTACGATGAATATACGTAATCAACAACGCGATGAACAAACATTAAATAAAGTAGCGAAAAAAATTAAAATACTGAAAAAAATAGCTAAATATATCTGCTTTTTACTCTTATTTAGACTTCTTCTATTAATTAACGATAATTAAGAGTAATAAATTGGAAAGAAAATACAGTGAGGGAAAGTAGGCGGCCACCAAAATAGTTCTGCGTCAAGTGTTACTTTTACAAAGGCCGAATTCATTTGCTAAACGTTGCTTTTTGAAGTTATTCAAATTGATAATACCAGATCTACACTTTTTATCACTAAATATTTTGCTTCTTATTTCTACACACAATCTGTGTGCATATGTTCCCCATGTTATCGGCTAAATCATTCTTCATAATTTTAAAAAATCAAACAATTTACAGACAATTTTTCCTTGAAAATTATCTTTCCGTAGCAAAAAAATTTGCTTTTTTTTTTTTTTTGTCACTAAGTCATCAGAAATAAAAGGCAGCAAGCTGAGGAACATTTACTGAATAGGTCTGTGATTTTTTTCCGCCAGTGAAAATCTGTTAAGATTATCTCTGTGTGATAATGTTGAATATTTATAACCAGTTTTACTGAAGTGATTCATATTTGACGGACAATGCTATATTTATCGTCAAATCTTTAAAACAGTGTTAGCAAAATCTTCAAATAAAAAAAAACAACGGCAGCTATTAATTCAAAATTAATCTTTCTAAAACTTGTGCTGTACAAGTATTGTTGTCAAAGCTTTCTCGTTAACCTCTCAGTAAAATCTGATTTAGAGAATGAAAAAACAGTTAAATTTTTTTCACTTTTTGAGTAAAATTACCGCTACTAACTTTTGCTTCAGAAAACTACAACTTTGTTAACCCTAAAATTATAGTTCTAATAATTTTGGCTTTTTAATTTCGTCTTGCTTTTCTGTTTTCAAGACATCATTGTAACTGAAAAAATTTGCTCTTTTTTAAACAATAAGTTTTGAAACAAAATCTTCACTTATTAGTGGCTATCCAGATAACGTTTTCCGGAGAACCTTAGCCAAACTGTTTCACTTTTATTGGGACCACCCGAATTAGGAAAAGATGAGTGCGGAAAACGGAAAGAGTAATTTTGATTTAGTTGAATAGAAGTTTCTATTTAAAGTACCGTACAATTTCATAGCGTTGTCAATTTTTAATTTCCCGAATTTTCTAAGATACATAAGGTTTTACAGAGTTTTTTTCTGTTAATCATCAATACAGAAAATGATCATCTCAATGATTATTCATGTTATAAAATATACTGGCGTGAACGTATTGGAAATCAGGGAGTTTTATACTACAGATTCTAACAAAAATATTCTGAACGATCAATGGACTATCAAATATACATAGTATTATTTAATGCTTTAAATTTCGTGCCTGAGCTTTCACGACATAAGATTAGTAAAAAGAAAAATCATCGCCACTTTTTTTAATGAGATATTTAAGCCGCTTTTTCTATGTCACCAGTAAGCGTTTTGAGAATTGCATACAGTTCAGCAAATTTATGAGGATAGGTTAATGAAAAGCTATTTCGCATGAAAACAGTTGAGCTATGTAAGATGCACTTCCCATATGCGAAGCGAAATTGTCACATTCCATTTGGTTTCATGGGTCAGATAGTAAGCACTATGGATGCCTAAAACATTGTCTTCACCAGACCACCAATGCTATTCTCGTTATTTTGTCAGAAAATATGAAGAAGGTGGTTGGAAATGAAATTTATCTTGTCAGTTCTGCACTAATCACGGTTTGGTTTATAAGAATATTTCAAGAACTGAACAATCAAGCAATTTTTTAGTTGTCGGAGACAACCAAAGAGATTCTGTTGTAATTGCTGAGAAACTGTTTTATCACAATTCGGACCACCAAAATTTTATTATTGCAATTACATTATTAATCGTACTTTTTTTTTCGTAATCGACATCAGGGCTGCTTTTTCCAATAGTAGTTGACAGTTAAAATGCAAAATTTTAATTCTTTATCTAATTATTTTACTTCTTTTATTTTTGAAAGAAAGAAACCTGATTTGTCAATAATAAACATCTGCAGGCTAATCAAAGCAGAAAGAAAGGAGGATTTTTCACAATTTTTTAGCTTCCAACTTGTTTTATAAATATGGCATCAATGTGTTAATAGTGAAACCAAAAGAGTTCAAATAAGTTTATAATAATTATTCTAGTCGTTGACCGAGTCCATTTAATACTGTAAGCTACAAAAGTTATTTTTACTATGTATCAGAACGTCATCTTATATTGAAGTTCCAGATTAGGACTAAATAAGACAGGCATCTGGATACTAGCAATTATATACGGTTAAGTAACATTGATTCCAAAATTTAATTTCAGGTGCCAACAATAGGATCGCTTCTTTTTCTTAGAAGTTCTGGCTATCAGTGGCATTTGGATCGATGGCTGGATGCAGCTTTTATTTGCTTGCTTGATACAGTGTTGCTGCAGGTGATTTTAGTTGCGATAGGCATACTGAATGAATATCCAAAACGTGGTGGATCTGGGCGAAATCCGGTAAGAAGAAAATTTTGCCGTAATGAAACCAGGTCAGATAACTTGTCATACTTTTTGAATCGTCGTTGTTAAAGGGGGTGATCCTAATGTTTGCAACATCGGTGGCAGCGCTTTTATCGGCGATATTTTTTGTTTTATCCTTAAGACCATACGAACGTGTTGTAAATGGTTCACTGTGTGAACCATATATGGCGACTGCAACGGTTAGTCGATAACAGACCATTGTTTTATCTGGTTTGAAACGGTTGATAATACAGCAGTTTGTTGCCTTTTGTTTGTGTCAACAAAGTTTATATTTCGACATTCGACATTAGGGTTCATGACTTCATCTAAGGAGTAATGAGTTATGAAAAATTGTAACACTTTTAATTGTGTTTGAAAAGATAACTATTATTATTGCCAAAACTTTATCTTTATCATTATGGATAAAGGCTGTATACAGTATATCGAGTAAATTTCTAGAAGAATAATTTATTTTAATTGAACACTTCAGTCCAGTAAATTATTTGGCAGGAAAAAATTTATATTCTTTAGCCGTTTTGGTGTTTTTGCAGAATTTCAGTGTAACTGCAAGTATGATAGCATTTTTACTCGGCATATTTGTCAATTATTACGATATATATATAGCCGAAAAAATGAAAACAACAAATGTAAAGTTAGTTGCTGCAACATTCCTTTATTTATTTTTCAGTTGCTTGCTATAGTAATCATAAATCTGAAATCACTATTGAAGGTGGCAAATTGATATAAGTGACAAAGAATCTATTGCTATTAAATTTTGGAACTTTTGCAATTTGTGAACGGAATGAAACCGTTCTTACACAGCATTAACGATTTAACCAAAACAAGCATATATTAAGAACTGTTAGGCCGACATAAGGAATGCAGACCTCTGGTTCATGGCAAAACTGTTGCTTCCAAAGCCACCACAGGTTTTTCAACGCGGGACTCCCTGTCTGACACATCAAAAACGTTAATGGACACTACTGCTGCAGTTTCATCGGCAACAAAAATGAAAATGAAATTTATATGGGTATATCATCTCGATCCCTACATAAACTCCCAAGCTCTTAGACTTCCAGGCTGTTTTTGTTCCAGATAATGATGTTAACACACTTGAACGCTGGATGTCCCATCTGCGCAACATCCAAACCGGTGTTCCTCAAATTTGTTTAGTCCAATAGTCCTTCATAAAAAATTTTACTGTCCTCACTCTTCTTTGCCCTCATCTTTTTAACGAGCCATAAATGTCTCCCTTTATTTTGAGTTCCAGCCTTCTTAAATCAGAAATAACTTTAAGACCTGTATATAACAGCTCATTATCGCCGAATTTTTTGCTGGGAAAGAAAAAGGCAGGACACCTCGAGGTACTCTTACTGAAGCAAACTGAAATTCAACAAAATACCTTAGGACCAATCCTAAGCCTCCTCCCCTTTTGTAGTATAAACAGACTTTTCACTATTCTTCTGACATCTTCCATCGCCGCAGGAGAGAAGTAAAGCTCAGTTCCAGAAGCATTAGCCTAATTATCTGACAAATTTTCTGTTTTAATACTTTCGTTTTTTAAACAGTAAGGCAAACACTAAGCTTTAAAGAGTTTGAGAGCGAGAGCATACGGGGAGCTTGTGATTTGAAAAGAAGGTAGAATGAGTACTAAATAGAGATTACTTTGAGTAAGAAGTACAACAGAAATTAGATGTATGTCTGTATGAAGCATAGGCTCAACATCACTATTGACAAATCACCAGTATATTGCAAGATAAAGCAGAAATAGAATTTTTAGTAGATTAAATTATCAAAAGTAGAGACTCTTTTTACTATGACATTAAATAAGAAGGGTTCATTACCTCCTGTCTTTTCAGTATTCATTACTCAGCTACACCGGCTGCACCACCACCAGAAGAAGTAATCAACGGTACCACCACCAACAACAACCAGTTTTGGTCCAATCCAGCGCAGCAGACTGGTGATTTATTTCTGACCCCAAAAAGTTGTCCAACACTGCTTCAACGGTATCACTAAAAGCGAAGAAAATTATCAGTTGCTATAGAAATCAACTTTAACAAAATAGTCTCCACAAGAAACATCCATACCGCCAATACGTAAATGATCACGCAACTGCAGTGCTATTGTATACTGCTGCATAACGTTTTCACTGTACTACTGGATAGCGCCGTTGACGTGATACGGGCATCAGAACTCTTGTATTTTTCTTATAAAAGTTGTTTTTTTTATTCAAATAGCAATATTTAGAGCTCGAGAACAGTAAAAGCAACAAGGAAATGTTACTTTAAGATCAATTTAGAACTTGTATAGTCAGATTAAACTGCTTAACAGTCTAGATGTTCTGTTGCTACGTGTTATGGAAGTCCCTAACGAAGCATGTACTTTCACAGCATTTCTGTCATCTGTTATGCGTAACATAAGATATTAGTATCGTTTTTTACTAGCTACGAGCAAATGATACAAAGTACATGTATAGTGAAGCAGTAAAGCAGTAACAATACACTGTAAACCATTCAACACAAAACAAACAAAATTTGCGGAAGAAGACAGTGTTTTGACAAAACGGGAAAATTTTATATAAACAACAATTTTACAATGAAGATAGCCTAAATAGCCTATAGAAACTT